AAGGGAGAAAGATATAGTTCTCAGGAGACAATTACAATCTCTCAATGGAGGCACAGTGAGAGTTCACCAACCAGCTGATCTCTGCCTTCTTAAGGCAGCCCAAATTCATGGAATTTAATCTGGACTCCAAGGCACTGCTAATGTCAAGCACTTAACAAAATAAGACCAGAAAAGGTAGAAAGAAATCACTCAACATAAATGAGACCTATATCTCCCCAGCCTTAGGGACTAAGAGTCAGAGCCAATGACACTTGAGGCCTCAAGAGAAGCTTCTAGTGCTAAAAATTAAATTCCCTCTCATGGGGGGGTAAAGACAAAACAAATCTATAAGGAATTCTTTGCCGAAGCAAACCATTTCAATCTCTCTTTTAAAATGACACCACGTAGGGCAGAGAACAAGTTTAAAATCTTCCCAAAGGTTTAGGTGAGGGTGAAATGTACATCCTACATGGAGAATTCAAATTCTTAGATAAAAGACAACTTTAAAACACCCATAGACTTCAGCTAGAAATGTTTAACTGTCCGGGAGAACTGTGGTTGAACTAAATCAGCCTCTGTGGGGGTAGAAAGGAATGTGAGAAATAGCAGGTAGATCAGCATTTACTAGACAGAGGGAGGCAGCAGTATTTCTGAAAAAGTATGTAAAAGCATTTTTACATTTTAAAAATTCAATAGGAAAGATTAACTTCAAATGTTACCCAACAATGTATCCTTTTTAAGTTTAAAAATATCTTCTGTAATGCAAGTAAGTCTATTCTTTTTAATTGCTGCAAAAGTTCCTAAGTGGTGAATCCTTATTTTGTTAAAAGTGGTGACTGAAGAAATTAAATCTGTCTTTTGGTATTCATTATTTACTGGAATATATGCCTCCTTCCTAACACCTCTCAGCAGAATCAAGCTCCTTGTGGTACCCTACCTAAAAAAGAGCTTGGCACCAAAAAGTGTTCTTTTAGTCGACAAGTGAATAAAAACTTTGTGAAAACAGAAATTTGCATTTATGGACTTTCACATAAATCCTTTTTCCAAGTAATAGTTGTCTTTATTTTTTCTATCAGCAACATTTGAGTCTGGTGATTATGCTGCAGTTAGTGTAAAAATGAGTGTTACAACATTTTTTAAAAAGGCTAAGTTTTGGTTTTATTATCCCAACTAGTAATTAAGTCAGACTGACAGAAGGAATGAGATTTGGGGTCTTTCTGTTTCAAGTCTAAATTTAGTCAGTACGTATCAAAAAGTGGAAAAGTTCTATTGATAAAACACTTAGGTACAATAATAAAATAATAAAATAATACAAATATGTAATAACTAGTAACTCAAAAATTATGGTGTTTAAAGTAGTCATAGAATGTTAATTCATTCCATACATTTCTGAAGAAATATGAAATGGTATTTACAGAGTGAAAATAATCAGATAATGCATGAAATCAGACTTGGGAAAACTATTCCTTCTTTCAACAAACATTGGGGAGCCACTATGTACCAGGCTAAATCCTAACTACATATTACAAACTACTAACAAATGCCTCATTGCCACTGAACAAGCATTTATCAGAATCTATCATGTCCATTATGCCAAGCACTAAGGATATGTCTATAAACAAGACAACAAGCTAGACGCTAGCTCTGTCCTGGATTCTAGTGGGGGTGGGGAGGTGGGAAGAGAAGAAAAACCAAATAGTCAGAAATAAGGAAATGAACAAAGGGCCAGGAAATGATAACAGGGGACCCTTTTGCATAGGATGATTGGAGAAGTTCTCTCTGGAGAAGTCATATTTATGGTAAGGTGTCCCTGATCTCCCTGAAGAAGAGGAGACCACTCTGGGAAAGAGTACACCAAGCAATAGCAGGTGCAAAGGACCTGAGGTGGGAGATAGGGCAGTGTAACTTGAATATAGCGAGTATAGGCGGCACACATAAGTGAAGTTACAAAGGTAGTCAGAAACCAGATGGCATAGAGCATTGTAAGTCGGGGACAAGTTGGATGTTGTTCCAGGTCATGAAGGATTTTAAGCAAGAAAGTGACATAATCCAACTTGTATTTTTAAAGAAATCATTCTTGCAGTTGTATAAAGAATGGATTAAAATGAGGCAGGTGGGGTAAGGAGGAAACAACATGGGAGGAAATGGCAGTAAAATAGGCAAGAAACAACAGTGACTTTGACTAACAGGCTGAAGTGATAAGCGATCCACTTATAGAGAAAAAGGTGTTCCAGATGCATTTTGGAGATGGAAGAATTGATCTGATGTGATGTGAGGAATTAAGGGTGGATCCTAGCTTTCTGGGTTGAGCAATTAGACTGATGATGGTGCCATTTACTGAACTGGGTGGAGCAAATTACTGAAATTTACTCTTCATGTATTGTGTGCTCATGCCTCCCTGAGGGTTTCCCAAGTCATTCCCACTGCCAAATCCAGAGAATCCTCATTGTACTAAATCTCTCACTTGACACCAATCCTCTCATTTAACCATTTCCTCTTCTCTCTGGGATTTCAAATACCAAACTCTCAGTTCTTCTCTTAATCAGAGCATCCTTCTCAGGTCCTATACATCCCAGGGCTCTGTCCTTGGCCCTCTGCTATTTCCTTCATTACATTCTCCCCTGGTGACCTCATCCAAACAATCCACATTACCTGACACATTAATCCACATTAAGCTTCCCAAATCTGTATTTCCACCAAGAAATTTTTCCTCATATCCAGAACCATCTTTCCAACTGCCTTCAGTGCCTCTCCACTAGGATGCCACAGCAGCATCTTAAACTCAACATATCCAAAGCAATTTCATCATCTTATTCTTCCAGCATTCCTATTCTATTATCCCATATTCCTCATCTGCGAAAAGCCCCGCTGTAAAAAAAAAAAAAAAAAGCTGTTTCTCAAGCCCAAGCCCAAAACCTTAGGATAATACTAGATACCTCTTCTTCCAAGTCCATATCAAATATGTTTCCAAGTTCTATCAAATTGACTTTCTAGTGAACTCATGATCATGGCACTTCTTTATACAGGGCCCACTGCTTGAATGTGGATCTTCATCATCCTCCCCTGGAGTACCAGAACAGCTCTCTGGTTTTTCATCTTCACTCTAACCCATCCTCCCTATCTCAATGGACAGAGAAGTCCTCCATTGGCTTCCCACAGTCCTTAGGATGAAATCCAACCTCCTCATGGGTAAATACAGTCCTCAGACTGGCTCTCCTGACTGGTCTCCCACCACCGTCTCTCTTCAACACTCCAACCATCCACCACACTGAACCATCAACAGGTCAGCTCACAATTCTGTGTGTATTCCAGCAGCCTGACCTTCGGTCTGAGATGATTACCTCCCTCAGCACACCTTTCCCAAAGACATCTTATCACACTGTTTCTCCCAATGAACTGCAAATTACAAAAGGGTGGGGACTGTCCTTCCTGGAATACTTCGGTGTTTATCTGAAAAGGTTCTTAATAAATGTTAGCTGGATAATTATGTCTGGGTCAAACTCAGTTTTCTGTAAAAGGTGAACTTCTACGTATATCAACTGTTAAATTTTACACGTCAGCATTCATCTTTCATTACTGAAAAACTAGGGATGTCCACAGTGGCTGCGGCTATAATTCTGTGACTTTTTTCAGATTCATCTCTATTGATACTTAGCTTTTCAGTTATGCTGCTTTTAATACCTCCAGTTTAAGATTACCCTGATGCTGTGTCCTCCAATAACAATATCTGATGAACCTTCATTTTAGTTATTTCTTATATGGTCACTTAAATATTACTACCATCCTCAACAAAAAAACTCAACATTTAACTTTACTTTGAAGAAGAGACACTAACACAGATTGATCTCGTTTTATATATACAAAGTATACCCTCCGTTGTCAATCTGGAGAGGGGTTGCTTTTACATTTATGCCTGATAAGCCCCTGTACTCATTGGTTAAATGCTATTTAAAATGGTTGCAAAGATTACATTAAGGATCTTTTAATGAAAGCAAGCACTGAGTAAACTTTTCAGAGACTGATGCGGCTGACATCTTGCAAAACAAAAGAAATGAAGACCTTTACGCAGTTTCTCAGCAGTTGGCCCTCTAAAACCGTTACTTAACCACATTCTGAGACAACAACACTACTCTGCTTTGAACACCACAAAAAAGCCCTACAGCACACACCATTTCAGATGTCCATAAGGCAACCCATCCGGTTCCATAAATCGAGCCTAAGGTTTACTTAAGCTCGACCGAAGCATTTTGGCAAGAAAAATGTTTTGTTTTATTTTGAAGGAAAATGTGCTTTTTTATGTTCAGTGTCTTGTCCAACTCCAGTGACCACGTCTGGAATTATTATGGATGTGGCTGCATTCTTTTAAGCCAGGTCATGTCAGTGGCATTGCCAGTGCTTTGCATCCTAACCCAAATGTACTGTAAATTTCTCCTTGGTGCAGACTACAGAGACGAGACAAATGAGACTCCAGGATTCTTCCATGACGGAAGCTTATAAAAACGCAGAGCAGAGCATTCAAAATAAAACTTACAAGGTAAAGCAAAACATTCGCTAAAAACATGGAAACCAACCAACAAAGGGCCTGCAACTGCAACCTTCCGCCACCTCGCAAAGGTGGAGAACGCCAGGACCCCGGGTTCTTGGACTGGAACCCCGGATGGCCCTGGGCGCCCCAGAGTCACCAGTGGGGAGAAGGCAGGAGACTCGCGTGCGCTCCAGGCAGCCGCGCGCGGGGCCCCCTCCTCTGGCCGCCCCGCGAGAAGGAGCAAGGTGGGGAGCTCCCCCCTCCTCCTCCACCCGCCGGGACTCGGGAAGGAGAAGAAAGAGGCTCCGCGCCTCCCCAGCCAGCCGCGGGGCCCAGGCTCCCGCCGCTCGGTGCCCCGCGCTCCGGAGCGCGCAGGCCGCGCCCCCTGCCCACCTCAGCGCCCCGCGCGCAGGGCGCGCGATCGCCACGAGGGGCGTGTGCTGCCCCGGGAGCCCCCGCCGCCCGCCCGGTTCGGACCGGTCCCGGCGGCACTCACCGAGCCCGAGCGCCGCCGCCAGCACCGACCACAGCCGGAGTCTGCGGTCTGCGGCTGCAATCACTGCCCCGGCCCCGGCGGGCGCTGCCATCGTCCTCCCGCTGCAGCCGCTGCCGCGCGCCCCTGAATCCCGGTCCCTGCTGCGGTGGGCTCGGCTCGGGGCAGGGGAGCAGAACTGCCGCCGCCGCGCCCGGTGGCACCTCGGAGCTCGCTCCCCGCTCCCGGCCCCGGGGCTGTCAGCCCGCCCGCCCTGGCCCCGGCCCCGGCCCCGGCCCCGGCCCCGCCCCGGCCGCAACCGGCTGCTCATTGGCTGCTCCGCTCCGACGGAGGACGCGATTGGGCCGCACGGGCTGTCCATCTCTGGGCTGGTGGGGCCCCGCCTTCCGGTCCCACCCAGGCGCCTTATCCCGGGCTGGAGGCCCTGTCCCGAGCATCCCAGGCGGCAGCCGCCAAGCCCGCTCCCGGCCTGCCTGCGTGGCTGTCCGCCGGTCGGTCTGTCCCAGCCGATCCGACTGCCTGCCAGTGCCTTCTCTGCGTCTCCAAGGTCCAGTCGCGCGGATCTCGCCATTGTGTCTCCCAGCCACAGGTCTTTGCCCTTTCTGTCCTCTTCTGTTTCTGCTTTTCTCGCTTTCGCTGAGCCTCACCTTAAAAAATAATAATAATAATAAATAAATAAATACATACATACATACATACATACATACATACATACGAATGAGGGAGAGGAACTTCAGATAGAACGCATCTCCCTTCCCCCACTTTGCCCTGTCCCCAGGCCTGCCTTTTGCCTCGAGTAGCTTAATTCCTGTGTTGCAAACCGAGAAATCTAGATTAAAAAGAAGTGCCCGTCCTACTACGTGGAACACAAATGAATGTGCTTTTTGTTAGTTTAGCTTTTGCAAATAAAATGTCCTGCCATTTGTCAATAAAAATTGGGATAGGACAAGTTCCTCACCTACTTCTGAAGTGTCGTGACTGCCCCTGCTCAACTTGGTTACCTTGGCCCAGAACAGTGTGTGCCATTTACTGGTTGCCCAATAAATACTGAAAAGTGTTTGGAAGGGTCCTTATGAGAATAGCAGCCTTCAAAAAGGATAGACTGGAAAGGTGAGGGGGAAGAAAGGAAAGATTCAGGTGGTGGTTGAGACAGTGAGGGAAGGAAGCAAGTTTTAGACATTTTGGACAAGAGTGGGAGTGGGAGAGAGTCTTCCCATTGTTTAGGTTTTGTCTAAAGTCAATCTTATCAAAGCCCCTTCTGATAGTTTTGCTGTGTTAGCTTTCTAGCCTTGTAGCACATCATGTGCATACTAATTACTTTAGCATTAGTGAGAGAAAACTAAATGAGCATGACATAGGTGCTTTGCCTTATTTCTCTGAGCAAATTCCTTAAGAAGTGTCTGGGCTATCACACAATGCAAGTGCATTGAGCAAGTGCTATGTCCTATTGATGTAGAACATTTAGACCCTACTCTCAAGAAGTACTATGTACTAAAATTTTTTTACATGCCAATGAAGGAGAAACCCAACAGCAACAGGGACAGAGGTCCTCAAAGACTCAGGTAGTGTCAACAACTCCGCAGACCACAATTTATCTCCTCATGCATACCCCCCTCTTCTGAATCCACTTACCTAAGAGGTGTCTAGGAAAGATGCACAGAAGATGCAGCACCTGAGAGGGACTTTAATGGATGAATGAAAATTCACCAGGCAGAATAGGGAAAGCAAACACAGGAACAAGAAAGCATGAATAGTGGGTACAAGAAATAGTTGAAGAATCCTGTATGGTTTAGAATTTCAGGGGAGTGAGGGAAAAAAGGAGAAAGAAAGAATGCTGGGAAAGTAGGGTGGAGTCATATTTTGGCTATTTGGGGGTGATGAAAGGGGAATGACAAACTCAGGTGTGTTTTTTAATACTGTGGCCACTGCAGCAGACAAGGCAAGAATGAACACAGAATAGCTGTCGGAAGTAGGGGTGGAGAGAAGGCAAGGAATGGAGAAAACTTTCGAAAAAAGAATGACAGAACCAGGTGCTGAAATTGGATGGAAAATCTAATTAAAAGAAAAGAATCCAAAAAGATAGAAGTGGTTTGCTAATTATCAGAGGTGGTCTGATAATCAAGACAAAAACCAGGTAGAGAACCTGGTCTGTGAGGAAAGCTAAAGACCCAGGCCTTGGCTTAAAGTGCTGAGGATCCTAATGATGAAATGGAAGTAAGTTAGATGTCTCAGGTATAGCCAGGAAAGCAGCAGAAAGGCTAAGATAAAAACCTGAACCTACAATGGTGGCAAAATATTTCCACAGTAAATAGTTTCAGATGGCCAATCTCAAGTTAATAGAATTTCCTTCTCCTCAAATATGAGATATGGATGAAAATGAATTCTGAGACATTATTTGTTAGGAAGAGTCAGAGGGCATGTCTGTCTGAGTGCTAGTTGCTTAATGGGCCTTCTTCCCAGGGACTTCTGGATGACATCCAGACTTGGCTTCTCCGGGAGAAATCTGGCCAGTTCTCCTTTCATCCCTGGCTCCAAGCCCCAGCCACCTTCTTCCCCCATCCTTATTCCCCATCCCATCCTTCAGAATCTTCTCCAGCCACCCCTAGTCTGTGTGCAATCCTAGATAGCAGGGAAAAGGGGGGGCTCGCCTCTGCTGTACTTCCCCTCAGTGCACCCTATAAAAGTCCAGATATTTCCACAACTTCCACAACCACCTCAAGCTGACAGAATTAATTTCCCATGTATTCCCTTTTAAAAGTCTTTCCTTGACTCCTAATTGCCTATAGTATGAAATCCAGATGCCTTGACTGACAGACACATCCCTACTGTCTGCTTTTAGGAGCCCCTGTCTTGTACACCAGTTGGGCCTTCCATACCTGCCTTCAGTTCTAATATACCATGCCCCTTCACACCTTTCTCTGTTCCTTGACAGACAACGCCTATTTATCTTTTCATCTGTTAAAGCAAAACTCAAGGGTAAATTCCTCTAGAAAGTTCTCTTGTAGTCTCTAATATTGCCCTACACTGCCCTGTGTAGAATAGACCACTCTTGGCCCGTTACTGCTCTGCACGCATACAGATTTATATCAAAGCATCTTTAGATTTAATAAGAAGACCCATCTCTAAGGGTCTCTAGGGGCTTCTGAGAATGTGAACAAGATAGTAAGTGATTAATTGACAGTGTCAGGCACATGGTAAATATTAAATATGTGTCACTGCTATTATATCAACACTTTCTTGATATTAAGCCACTACTTGTCTGTCTCCCATATAAGATGAGGGACATGATGGCCTTGCCATGGGACCTAAGACAAAGCCTGACATATAGTTGATGCTCATCTTTTTATTACTCTCATTCATGCCCCTTCCTTTTAGCCCACTATCCTACTCTTTCTTTCTGGAACATTCCTGTCTTAGGATTGTGTCCTGGATATTCCTTCTACTCAGATAAACACATAACACATACCCTCATGATCTTTCCAATATTTGCACAAATGGTCTTCCCTCACTGGAATATATGCTTCACTAAGACTAGGGTATTTTCTGGTTTGTTCACTGATACATTGAGAATCTTGCACACAATACATAATCAATAAGTGTTTGTTGAATGAATAGATGAGTGGATGAATAGATGAGTGAATGGATAGATGAGTGAATGAATGAATTAATCTGGAGATGATACAAAGAAAAAGATGACTCATGGGCCTCCCTGGTGGAGCAGCAGTTGAGCACTGGTTTGCAAAGCTGCCCACAGCCTCTGCAGCGCCGGTTCGATCCCTGACTGCCAGGCGAGGGTCCCACATGGTGCGCAGACCTCTCCTGCTGTGCCCACTGCTCCCCTCAAGAGTGTATTTCATCAGTCTGCCCGTTCTGTTCCCCACTCTGGCTCTGGTGAATTCTCTCATCCTCCCATGCTTCTGACTGTACCCAGGGCTTGTATAAATTAAAAATAAAAAAAAGATGACTCATGCAAGGCTGTTCAGCCATAGCCCTTGCACTGTAGTTTCTGATCCTTTTGTACAGATACAGATAGTAAATGGAAGAAACCCTTGGATTTCACTCTTGTTAGCTTGAGATTCTTACTCATCAAACCTCTTCCTTTTCAGATACTTCCTTCCTCCTGGAAACTTCCCTTTCCAGCTCAGGCAGCCCAGGCAATACAGTCAGAACCAACTGAAGACTTCCAGTCAGGTCAGAAAAGTCCACCTTAATGAGCTGTTCCATCTGAAAGAAATGGGCTCCTTGGGGTGGATTTCCCTCCCAGAGTCAACAATAAGGTAAAATCAGGGCAGGACCTGTCTGATAATAGTTCTCTGTACCCAGGCCCTTTGGCCTCCTAGACTTTCAGTGTCATGCAGTGCGCAATAATTGCACGAACAGGAGGGGTATGTCTGGAAACATCTCAGATCTTCATGTCTTTTCTGAATAGAGATAAGGGGCACACAGAAGCAGCTAGTGCTGGCAAAAATATATGGGTGGAATTTTCTAGAGCTGGAACTAATGGAAGAAGTAGGAAGAGGGTGACAGATGTCTAAATTTCAAACAGATCTTTGTGACTGTGGCAAAATCCTCTTCCACCTCCTGCACTCTTACTAGCATTCCCTCCCTTCTTATTTTTTTTTTTTTAAGATTTATCTCTTTATGCATACAGTAACCGGGGTACAGGCCAGAGGTGCAGGGGGTGAGAGGATTCACCAGAGACAGAGTAGGGAACAGAACAGGTAGATCAACTGAAATACACTGCTCAGGAGAGCAGCAGGCCAGGCAGGAGAGGTCTGCTGTGCCATGTAGGTTGCTCCCTGGCCGGGGGATCGAACTTGTGTTGCAGTGGCTGCAGATAGCTTCATAGGTTGCCTCTTAATCCCTTGCGCCACCAGGGAGGTCCCCTTCTTATCTTTTAATTTCTATTGAGAGAGGAAAATTGGAACTGTGGTCTGTGGGTGAGAATAGCAAGACCTGCCAGGAACACTGAGTTTGACTGTTAATGGATGACTATCAGAGTCAAAGATGAATGCCAAGCCACCCACAGGAAGATTTGTCTAAAGCAAAGCCAGTTTCATTGCTTGTCCATAGAAAGGATGTCCTATCCAGAAGGATTGCATATGAACTAGAAATTTTTGAAATTCTGAACAGAGTTCTAGTAGTGTCCCCTGGGCACAGAGGCTCAAAATTGGGGGAACAAGAAT